ATTTTTTTACTAACAACGATTCATGAGGTACCAATGAACTACCCGTAGTGGAAAGCCCTAAAGATGAACTACTTGTATTTTCAACCACACACACATGCACACGAGATGGAAACGTATGACATATGGATCAACAAATATTTACTCGAGTCAAAACAGCGACACGGTTGAAATCAGTAACCTGCACACACACGCCCGTATTCCGATGAACGAGACAAGGTTTCGTCACAATAGCTTGGTCACACCACTGATTGTCCGATCAATAAACCGATCGATGGACTTGATTGCTTTTGTCTCAAGATACAAAAGGTCAACAGCACGAATACGACACATTTTTCTAGCGTTTCCTAGATAGCTACATGGGTGGTGGAATGTGAATATGTCCCTCGATCTGTTCAAATCCAGATAATGTCAGAAGTTCATGACGAGATAAAAGTAAAAATGATTGTGCCATTCGAAAAATGCCCACAGGCTTATCACAAACTTATTTATAGTTGTCACTAAACTCAGACTGTAAGCATGAAAAGCATTGGAGTGCGAGCAATCTTCTCTGAGTGAACGTTAATTTAGGAACGTTAGCTTCGGCATAAACCATTCGTTCTGGCTGATAATCAATCGTTCTCAGATGTTAGAACTTTATAAACCGATAAAGATTACTCGTTTGGGCTCAATACCGCGTCTGAACTTACGTGGTCTTATGTGGTGCGCCCCTCCAAGTGCTGGGGCTTCCGTGGTCAGGCTAAACACGTTCTCGTGGCTGAGGTTTACCATTTCGAAAATTTAAAAAAAAATCCAAATCGGTACAACTCACCTGTTTCATCGTGTATAGAATGCATCTAGATGAGATAATAACCACTTGATGAAGGGATCCAACAACGAACAACAGTAGCCAGGATAAAAGGTATATGGTACCCGTGCAGAATGATCACATTATGTTTTATCGGCCTCAGCATCATCATATACAACGCGGAAGCTAGAGAAGAATTCATCACCAAACGGGTTCGTGCAGAGGCTCAATAACTGGGCTGAACACACACCGAACGGGGTAGTCCATATTCATGAACGATACGCAACAACTCTTCGCCCTTTGCTGCCGGTGTGATTTCACTGGTATCGCGTAGCACAGTGACCGGACGATTATCGTAAGACTCGATGGAAATNGCCTGATCAGATTGGCCGGTACGTTCTGAGAGAAACAAACATAACAATACACTCTGGATAAACATCGATCAGGAAAGACAGAAAATGTGTGTGATGAAGCAACAGAGTAATTTCAAGCTGCCTGAAGGAGTCGCACAATATTCACTCGAGTACGGACATGTTTTGCGGGCACATAGTAGGTGTTTCCCTTGAGTGAAATAAGACAATTCATTGAGCCCATCCGAGATTCGAATGTCTGAGTCTGGCCACGCACAAACTGTACGTATACCAATTCAGTCAGACGCGGAACCAAGAGTGGTCTGGATTATTGGAATTGTAAAGCATACAACCACCTGATCCAGGGAAATACGTTCTAAGAAAGCATGCAGTATTGTGTTACAGATGCCTATTTATTCGAATTGAATTGAAAATGTCATATAGGATGAAAACGAGGTCCGCAACTAGAAACAGGCCACTACCAACCGAGAGTTGTGTGTGGTGCATGAAGCTATTATTGTGTTTCGGGTAGTGTGACCATTTTGCAGTCAATGGACACGTTAGTTCTGAACATTTAAACACGCTGCCAATCTTTGCCGGGCTGCAAACAAACATTAGAAAGACAATAGTTTTTTGTCCAGCGTGCCTCAAAATGATACATTAATCGCTCCGTTCTTCCGGTACATTATGGCCAGATAACCTTTAATACACATATGATGCGTCTTTGTGAAAAAGCACTTTAGTTGTTGCGTAAAACGTCATGAACCACTTGATAATTCGATATCACAAGTATGCTTTTGTCTGTTATTAGCTGTTTGTGCGTGTATGCATGAGTGCCGTGCGAATGCGGTGGATATTTGGAGAGTCATTTTTTGCTGCGATAACAAAGGAGAATTCAAACACTACATGGTAGATGGTTTCTTTATGGTTGAACTTCATGCCGAATTCATCTAACTGGGACCCTAATTTGGTCGCTACTTACAGGGTTCAAATCGCTAATTTCCCTAACTGGGCAGTGGTTACTCGTGACTATGAGGTTCGATCCTTCTACCATCTTCGATAAAGAGAGTATTTAATTCCATTTGCTGATGATCAGTAACCATTGATCATGTATACTTTTTCTGCACCCTATCCAACGCCATACTGTCAATCAGTAAAAGCACCCGTCAGAGCATTCACTACGCGGAAGAACAATGGCAGTCTGGGTTCCCGTCACATCCCGCATCAACGCTGAAAACACAAGTCAATATTGATCCGTTTTCTTCTCGTCTTCAGTCAACAAGATTGGCTCCCTTTACATTTGAAACATCCATAGAAACGACCGGCAATAACAATAATTGTTTCTATACCACAAACAACTTCCACCTTCAAGTAACCACACTTATAATGGTATCAATCAATCAGGTGTGAGCTGAAATGCTTTGTGTGACTACAGGAAGGTCAATGGAACAGTGAGTAAACTGGTTACAGTTCGAACTTCGCCAAACAGAAATCCGAAAATAAAACTTTCTCTGGTGCAATTTGAAAGGACACTACTTTGGTGATTCTGTGAAGCCAGATGCTGTTAGTCAGGGATCCGTGCAGGACGAATTCTCAACATTCAACGTGAAACTCGCAATCAGCACCAATGGGATGGATAATGCCAAACTCTTTTATATATTGTGCACGACGAAATTCATCATCTGTTCGATTAAAATCTAACACCAATCTCATGTCACAATCAGTCAGGGACCGAGTCACATCCCTGGAGGGCCGTGCAGAGCGTTGAGCGAACTGAGCTGAACGCAAACAAACTTGCAAACATGAGCTGTGCTTTATCGCTGATCGGCTCAGTTGAGCCAACAGATTCGTACTGCTAATGAGACACAACAAGATAGAAAGAGCCTCCTGGTTTTTTCGTACTTCCTTCATTTGCTATGTGCACGGTCATACGATGCAGTATGTTTATTCACAGAGCTTTTACAGGCTTTTAAGCGGCCATTTCAATCCGATTCTGATCAGAGTGTCTTTAAATGAAATGTCTTTTATCTTCGTTTTTTTATTTATTGAATATACAAACGTTCAGTCAACTTTCAGGAAGGGGGCTGCGGCCATACAAAGGCTGCCTAGGGAAATACAGAAATAGGGAAGACGGGCGGCGGTGGAACGGTTTGAACCCGGGACTCCTCGGTCAAAATTTGGTGACCTAATCACTTGGCCACCACCGCCCAAGTGAACTTTTACAGGTGATATTCATTTGAGTCCTCCTGCTATATCCGTGTTCTTTTTACTGCACCTCGGTAGTCGATAAGGCTTAAGGTTGCAATCGTTCAACTGGGCGCATTGGCCCTGCTTTCGGCTCTGTATGTCTGCATTCAGATGACCACCGGAGCGTGATCGATTGATTTTACCGGCATTGATTTTGTTCTGTTGGTGTGCAATCGTTACTGTACAAATACATAGAGCTGCCTGCATCTTATAATCCAATGTGCAAAATCCTATTGAATCGCTATTGTTATGCAAGTGAATAATGGATAAAAGAAAGAAACTCGTGTTATCGGCTTCCCATTGGAATCCATTAATCACTACGAACTTTGTTGAGCTGTAATCACTGTAAGGCTGAGTTGTATACCAACTGAGCATTAATTCTGACCCCGGATCTTTGAAACTGGAACCCTGTGTCATTTATCACTGAACTGACTGAAATTCGCTAAGACAATTTGCTTGTGAAACTGGAAGTCGGCTATTTGTAATCGACCTGATTAGTGAGAAAATCCGATGCAGCTCGATTTATCTTTCCCCACCCACCCTTCCCCAAACATCAACCCCTTTGATGTGAAACGCCGCATTTGTGGAACGCAGAAAGCACATGAACGCATGCACGCAGGCACACGCATGGACGCGCGCGCACGCGAACACCTGGCACTTCGTTCCCGAATCAAACACACATCACTATCACACAGCTGATCGCACTGTTAATCGATCGATGGTCGATCGATTGTCCTGGACGGTAAACATCCATCTACAGACGCATCTGGAGTGTGTTGCGTCCGTGCCTGTTTGCTTGCGTTCGCGCCCGCGCCCGCCCGCACGTTTTGGTTACAAGCGTAATGCCAAAACCGTCACTGCGTCATTCGCGATTGACTGGATGAGTCGAATTCCGACGGGGCTGATAACCGCACACTAAAACACAATAAGCCCTGGGTTATTTTGCGATCCCTAGACATAGTCAGATTCGAGAAGTCTGTGATCGTCCATTGGGCATTGACAGAAATTATACAACTATGGGATACAGATGGAGGAAGAGAGGTTTGCGGGAGACAGAATCTAACCCCGATTGAGCTGACGTGAGAGCGATCGCAACTCACCGATCAGCTGAGCAAGGGCCAAACTCAATTTGCCAGTGTAAATGAACGGACTAGTATTTCATGGGGCAAAGTTGGATGACAGCCGACCAATCCCCAAAATATATTTCGAAGCACTCTGCACCGATTTCGCAGTGATATTTATAGCATCTGTGAATAGTCAGTAAATCCTCGTTTCATGGATGTGACCACACCCGAATTGAAGAAGCGAAAGTATGGGGATAGCACGTTTTCCCGGCCCCCATACACACACACACACACATATATATATATGCACAAATTCAATGATACTAACAGAACAGCTGATGTATCCTTCCTCCACCCCACCCCGCCCCAACCACCGATGTTTAACCACATCTGTGGTTTCTCTGGCCTTTTAAAACCAGCAAACAAAGATGTAGTTCGAATAATCGAGAGCCGTTCTCTCGTAAAAAAATAATTGTTGTTCTCAATCTCTCAGGGCTTAATCTTATTCATTTTCCTGTGTTTCATTTTTCCCAAATTAGCGTTGGGAATGTAACAGCAAGCAACAAACGGACCTGGCTAGTCATGTCATTTATGGTGTACAGGACAGTACTTTGTTCATTGGTCAAGAAGATTCCCCACTGAAAACAATCAGATAATAAGGGATCCGCTTGAATTATTATCGCACCGAAAGACTAATGCATGGTGGCAAACGACTCAATCGCACATGCTGACACTTCCTTTTGCTGTTGCAAATGTAAACCAGATCCTGGTCACGACCGACAGAGCTGTGTTATCTAAGTAGATCATAGAAACGAACTGGTTCGTGCATGTGAGACAGAAGAACCAAAAGAGAAGTATTAAATGTTTAATTTGTGTGGTTTCACCTTACGCACTTGTGTTTTTCTTCTAGCAGGTTTTAGTAGTGGTGTGGATAGAACTGCAACGTCTCTGATCACGGTAATCGATGACGAGCAATGTTATTCAGTATCTCTCACCAAAGACATTTGCAATTATTTGTGCCCTAACCTAGAATTTGGGACAACTCTGTGCGCGACAGATCTGTTTGATTTTTTAACCCTTCTCCCTTCCCCTGCCACGGTATCCACGAGTTTTCTTCACCAACGGCACCCACTGAGCTGACAGCCTCTCTACATGTGTCTGAGCCATTTACAATAATCTTATGAGCTGATGTTTTCGAGGGGATAGCACTGAAGCTTTAAAATCCGCGTGTTTGATCGTCGTCAAGCGGAAGCGACTGTGGGAAGACAGCGAACCACACCTCTTACAAACCAAGTTGTCTGGATATCACCTCATGTTGTCCCTTGGACAACCTCAGAGTTGCCAGGCCCACTTAGCCCCATGGCGATGTCCGGATCATCACTGGTCTGAACAAAGATTTCTTAACCTCTTGTTGAAGCATGAAGGAGACGATGTTATGACCTGCCTCAGTCACATATATCCCGAATCCCATGGCAGATCTCGATCGTGTGCCTTGCACGTAGCGTAGGCGTTTATGTGTGTGTCCCCCTCACCCCAAAGAAGTCCACATAGTGTTTCACTTACACCGATGGATCATGCTCTGCATTGATATGAGTGTCACTGTTAACCAGATTCACATTTTGTTAGGGTGTTACTTGTAAGCTATCCCCAATTTCTCTAACATTACAACCACCACCACCACCACCACCACCGAAGAACCAATACAATATTTGTCGTGATGGGAATGGTCCCTCACTGATACGATATATACCTAGTTTTTAGTGGGCATGCGGTCAAACGGAATTTACATGCAACTGCAAGTAGTCATTTTTGACCGGTTTATCGCAGATCTAATTCTTCGACAGAGTTCAATACATATTGACCATATATCGAATGACCAATTCCTAAAGGTGACAACTACCCCAGCTTTCATCTTCCTGCATGGCCAGTAGGATCAAATGCAGTTCTGAGAGGCATAATTGGGAACGAAGATGAATCTTGGGATGTAACGCAAATCTACTATCATTTTTTGTCAACTGAGCATTTATACAGAAAAAATGCAGTGTAATTGATGTAGTTGAAGGATCTAGTGGTTTATTGATACTTTCTCAACAATTCTTCGAGAAACTCATTCGCTCAGCTTTTATTCTCGGTGAAGATATCGGAAACCAATGAAAATTCCGGCATCACCTAGATACTTGTGTGTTTGTTTAGTTGCTGGACAATTTATAGTGTATGGTGCAGACGCGTAATAACAAAAAGCTTGACTAATCGATCGAATTTGTTCTGTTAATAACAATCAATACGCGAACACCCAGTCCTCTGTGGGTGCATTCATATCTCTGCCCGTTTCAACTGAGATTTTCCTCACGCTGTTACAATTTGGTCGATTCGGCAGATACAGCGTAATACTTAGATTAGTTAGGAATTACTGGTGTGCTGTTCATCTTACTCTCGTTGTTACCTAAAGGTTTGTTTCGACGTTCTTTTCGGCATCGGGTATTTCGGCCAGTTTGATATGCACTAGGTTGGAGCACGATCACTCGGTTCTGTTTCCTTGGTTTACTGCACCTCCTAGCATCACCATGAGACTGGTGTGTGTGTGTGTGTGTGTGTGTGTGTGTGTGTGTGTGTGTGTGTGTGAAAGATTTCCAGATTCCACCGGAATGTAACGTCTGGATATCTTCTTCGGAATGCACAAACGTGATTCACCTTGCAGTGTTGAAGTGCACGTGGAGTCATTCGAACAGCGATGTTAGCAGTACCGGGAAAGGCTACATACTTCCTCGAATAATCATCTTCGAAATACTGGTATTCGATCGCCAAAGACTGGGTAAAACAAAGAGGAATGCGGTAGACAACGGCCTGGGAAGGCTGAAAAACCTTGATTATCAGACTGCAGCACTATTGTGATCTCGGTGTCTCACAGTATACGACTGCATGAGATGTGTTGTGAAGTACACAGTAAACATAAAACCGATGGGACAATAGAGTTGGTACATTCAGAAAATTCTGCACGGCTACACTTCTGATAGAGTAATAGCAAAAGCAGCTTGTATTAGGGACTGTTTGTCGAGTTTTTCTCATTGTATAGTCTCGGAAATTTGAAGATCATTTGTGAACTCTGAAATGCGCTTTCTCCGTACCGGGTGCACAATAAACGTTTGACTCATTCAATGTGTCCTGATTAACACGAAACACACAACACGCAAATATGTGGTGCCTAACCACCTCGTTAAATTCCATCTGAACCAAGTTTGCACAAACATCTTGGGTGGAAAACCTTGAGGTGACCGAGTTTTAACACACACACACACACACACACACAAGCCGGTGCATACATGTCTGAAAATCGACCTTACCCGCAGCACACTATGCGTTAACCTTCAACTCTGTGAGGTTAGATTTGTTTGAGTTCAATGCACACTATTCGAGCGGCGAGCTGAACTGTCTGACTTTCCCACACACAAACATACACACACATACACCTAAGTAGAAAAATAAACCATTCGAACGCCAATCGATCCTTAAACTCCGGGCATCGAATGAGGAATTTGGTCCTGACAGTGCAAAGTGCATGCCAAATGAATGTGAGGGATTTAGGAGTCAGTCAAATGCAGCTCAGAAGAGACAAGATGTGCTTAGAAAGTCAACTTGTGTAGGAACTCAGAACCAATTTCGTGAGATGAGCCTCAGCTTGTGAATTCCAATATTGGATTCCACATGTAAGATGGTCTCTGTTATAGTGATAAAATGCCGTGTTATTTTCACAGAACTCCAGATGAGTGGATCACGAGAACGATCAAAGAGGAAAAAAGGGATATCAACTCGTCTGTGGGAATTCCGTCATGGTCTATGCCGGATAAGGACTTGTATTCAGTGTAGGAATCGAATCTGTGCAAGGCGTTAAACCGGATACGACCATTAGAGCAGGCGAACCAATCTGAAACGCTGAAGTTAGGTGACTACATGCAGGAGTAGAATGATCGACTGGATACAGACCCGGAAGAATTTTGTAGACTTGAAAACTCAGACCTAGTCTCTGAGCTTGTACAATCTACCATGATCGAATAATTTTTGCTCTGTGCATGTGAACTACATGATATGTACAGTCTATTTTCGTGGCGTCAAATATTTCTCATTAATTACAGCAATTCTGCCAATCGCATAATTTGACAGTCATATGAGGGGAGAGAGGGAGCAGAAATTAGTATTTGGGCCAGTTGAGTCATTTTCATTTGCAACATTCAATACAGAACCGAGACCACTAAAAACCTCCAAACAACTTGAATGTTTGTTGTCGAGCGGCTTTACTCGTTTGAAGTTTGTGACAGGTTTAGTGGTTCAGAAGAATAGAGTTCTGAACCCGTCATTTAATTTTGGTACAGTTTGAATTGAATTTATTCAATTTTTGTACTGACCAGCCTCACTGCCAACAAATCGAAAGCAACACTGATAGAAACGCATCTTGAATTGGATAGGCCACATCTTGGTTCACCCTGAACCAGGGATGTTGGCCAAGTGTTCCTGCTCGTCAAAATGTCTAGGATTTCCCCGGTTTGATCCCCAATACCGCCGGTCCATTTGTCCATTCATGGATCGGTAGTCTTTCACTGGAAGCGGCTCCATTCCTGAATATTGGCTATGCACTTCAATATATATATATATATATATATATATATATATTAAACGGCAGAAAGTTCAAAATTGCATCACTATCTTATTGGGATGTAATGCGGCTAGTCAATCTAATTCCAGGCGCCAAGGTTTCTGGTTTATATAAAAGATTTATTAGTCCTTGTGACTATAGGGTTTACACCGAAGTGCGTGAATAATTATGATTAAAAACTTATAGAAGTTAAATTGTTAAATATATTTGTTAGTAGTATTTAGCCTACCTATGGTGTGCAATAAATCACGTGAGCTGATCTGTGCCAGAATTAGGTTCTCTCTCACACACACTTACCTTGACGTATAGCCATCGGACAGGGATTTCTCCGCGGAAACGTGAATCCAACCAAATGGTGCATCGTTTCTGTGGGTCAACGGGACCAATCATTTCGGCCACCCCATTCAGATAGCCAGACGACCGAACAGAGAAGAACAGAAGAATGTGGCCACTTAGTTTCACACCGGATGGGGCTAACTTGTCCCCCGGGTTTGTCGAATTCATCAGGTCTGACTGGTTCTGTTGGGGATAAAAGTTGCACGACGATAGGGAAGCAAAACGGAAGTCAGTATAACTTGACATCTTCAGACAATTTGTCAGAATTTCAAAAAAAGGAACAGTTAATGTATTTTGTGTCGCAATGTTTGATCGGTGTGTGTCACAGTGTGACTGATCCAAACTGAACGGTGCTCACATGTCACGTGATATTTGAAACGAGAATAGACGGGGATGCCAAAAATGGGAACTGCATTAGGCAATTCAACAGCACAGTACAGTCGGGGACCAGTTGGTCTGGATCGGAAATACTCAGTTCAGAAGGTAATTGTCGAAAACATTCCAACGATTTAAACAGGATAGAAAATTCACTGGACAGAACAGAACAGAACGGAATAAAACAGAGCTGTGCAACACACGTTCAACACAACAAATGAGCAAGAGACAAATTCTACTGCGGATTGCTGCTATCAAATTGATTAAGTATTACTGTAAATCAATTTTAAAAAATGTACAATAATAATAATCGACGAGTATAACCCACCCACCCCACACACCTTTGGTGTACGATTTACTTTTTGAGTCGACGAGAAATAAGAAGCACGCGTGCATACACACGCACAGCGAGACACGTGGAAAAGGGGCGGGGGATGGAGAATGCAACTGACCTCAATTGTGCCAGTCGAAGTATTTGCAAAAGACCGACAATCCGTAGCCTGAACCGACTTGTACGCATCATTCAAGCACTGATTGCCTGATCGTGTCGAGCACCAGACACCGTGTCGAATGGACTGGTGCACATTGTATTCACAGTCCGATTTGATCACAAAATATCGTGTCCGAAATAACAAGCTCGTGTCGAATTCCACCGGGTTAACTCTGTGTGTGTGTAACGGTTTGTGTTGAGCGGATTGTAGAAGACGAAGGAATGAAAAACGGATGACATGTGGAGGGACAGAGAAATGGGCAAACGGAATGAGATTGTGAATAACCAAACCAATGCACATATACAATATAAACTGTGCACTGAAATCCCACCCCCGCCCCCTTGCAATGTTTGCATGTACCAGTTACATATAAAAACAAATCAGTAAACGGGACTGGCGAGAAACAATGGACGTTTGGTTTCGATTTGATAAGAGAAAAAATACAATGGCTATCTAGCAAATTTAATCAATTTGGTGGATAACAAAAGTATGGTTCATTTTAAAGACTATTATCAGCAAAATATCGAGATACAGACACAGTGAGATCAAGATATGGAACTAGGAACTACGAAACAATTGGATGCTAATTCATAGCTCTTAAACACTGCGGGCTAGAGAGATGAACAGAAAATGAGCACCAAATTTAGTAGATGATAAATCGCCTTTGTATTCCATTTTAACTACTGAACGAAGTGCAGAGACATGGACGGCTGCAGATTGAGATTGGCCTTCCGCAAACCGGATATATATATATATATATATATATATATATATATATATATATATACGTTCTGTTGTGAAATGTTCCCATCACCTAGTCACTTCAATCCGATCATAATTCACGGTTAATCGATATTCCACCCTCAGTCAGTCAATGTGTACGGAATGCCAGCCACAGAGTGAACTATAGACACGCTGAGCTGATTTCACGACTCCGAACAGAACCCTCGATTCAGTGAATGCATTATAAAATTTGTAAAGTGCCCGGATTGAACCTGTTTGTATACGTTTACAGCCTGTTCAAAGTAAAGGTCTATCGTGGACACGATCGATAGGAATCAATAGAGATGGGGGTTATGCAGTAGTCATTCTGATCACTTTACTACCTATGACGTGAACTACTACGCATCGATCGATTCAGCTAACGCTCCGTAAGACGCACGAAAGAAGGGAAAAAGCGGCAGAGAGAATGGGGAACAATGGAATAAAAAATAGTGAACCCCGTTCCTGTAAGTAAGAGCGCTGGTGAATTTTATTGCATTCCGGTTGCGTGTGTTTCACAGAGCTTCTGAGTGCAAACCTGAATAGATTGCAAACAGTGTACAATCAAGTGTACCGTCTGAGAACGTTCGAAGTGTTGAAACTTTTTCCATACTATGCACAGTTATCTTCTTTTCTGTTTGATTTTCTTTTGCTGTCAGACATCCGGGTTCAATGCACGATGGAAAGAGTGAATCTCTAAAAATCAAGAGGACCTCTGTTTGGTTTTGGAAACCGGTTGACTGAGGCAGAGAAACTGTGGCTACCACCAAAATTGAGCGTTGGTGGAGGCGGCAAGATTCGACAATTGAGACGGGGAATCACGCTAGTGAATGACTCAAATTGCCTAACCATTCCCATCAGGACAGCTTAAATAAAACCACAGGAACCATTACCGTTTAGGGAAAACACTGTCAGGATGATGCAATGTTCTCCGACCACTCTAATCATTTCATTCACCTTGACCTTTCTGACGTTCACAAACGATGCTCTCCAAATTGGTCTTTGACTAAACTGGTCTTTTGACTAAGATGGAATACCTACCTGTATATTC